GCCTCACCACCCTCTCCAGTGAGTTTTCCTCTGGCTTTGACCTGGGAACAAAGGCTGACCCCCACTACGCTGCTATGACCTTCTTTAAGGAGCTGGAGAGAGCAAAGGGTCTTTGATTCAACCACATAATGACTATCCCAAGTTGGAGGACATCCACAAGGATCACCAAGTCCAGCTTCCACCCAGGACCACCCCAAATCCCCAACTTTTTGGGATTATACTGTTGGTGTCTTTGTGGTGAGGAAGCTTTCTCCACCTTCCTCTGATCCCCTGGGAAAGCTGGGGCTTTGTTAACTGACTCTACCTCTGAGAATTTGGAAAGGTTTAGGGCCATTTTTCTGCTTTACAATGACGGAGATGGATAGATTTGATTCTTTTTAGGGTTTTCTTTCCCTTCTTTTTTTATTTTTTGGCCTCACAGATGTTTTGCTGTTGCTGATGTTTTGAAAGTGCTCACCAGCAATGAGTAGGAACTCAGATTTCAGTGTGACTTCTCTGGAAGAATTCTTGGACAAGATGCAGCTCTGGTACACGAGACAAGCACGTTGTGCCCTAGAAGGTGAAGTAGGAAGAAATTTTTGAGCCAGAGGGAGGTGAGGCACTGGAACAGGTTGCCCAAGGAGGCTGTGGATGCCCCATCCCTGCAGGCATTCAAGGCCAGGCTGGATGTGGCTCTGGGCAGCCTGGGCTGCTGGTTGGCGACCTGCACACAGCAGGGGGTTGGAACTGGATGAGCATTGTGCTCCTTTGCAACCCAGGCCATTCTATGTTTCTATGATTCTATGAAATAAGGAGGTGAAGCCTGCATGTCCCATACACCATAAAGTAGAAGTGGCCCAATTCCAGTTTCTCTTTCCTTTGTAAATCACTCCTGAGAGTTGCCTGAGCCCTTTGCAGATCCTGTCTGGCAACAAATGACCTCCTAAAGCCGTGTGAGCATGGAGCAATGCGCTGTACCTAATGGTTCTTCATCCCTGGCTCCTGTGAGAGCCTCCCCTGTGACTCGTTACTGCTTGGAGTGCCAAGAGCAGCAAGCTGTGGCACAGAGGAATTGCTGGTACCCACTATTTGTCAGCATCATTAACAGTGCTGGGGATGGACATGCAAACCTCCGGCACGCAAGGCCCCAGAAGCAGCACAGTGCTCTCAAGAATAGGATGGATGACCTTGAAATCTCTCCCAGAGCTGCTGTCAGATCACAGTTGCTGGAACTGTGAGATTAACGTATTGATTTCATCTTGCAAATGAATGCTTTCTGCTATAAGTGCTAGGCAGTGGCTCGGGGCTTGCAGACAAAGAGTATCGATCAGGTTGACTCAATTAGCTGCTGAAGGCTTTGAATTTGGGCCCCTGTAGTTAATGGCAATTTCACAGGCAGAAGCTTCACAAGTTCCCATCTTTTAACTCAATTATGTGTCTTCGATGCTTTGCTGTTTGCTGTCACTCATTCAGTTGTTGATTTAGAAAGATACCGAGCATCTCATCTGTGTGCTAACCAGCCACCAAACCTTTCCTTTCAGGAGTCTCCTCTTTTCATACAGCAGAACAGCAGCTTGCTTTCTGTTCCTTTAGATACTAAAGCATGGCTCTTTATCACAGTGAGGGCAGAGGAATGACTGTGCTTTCTGCCTTGCACAGCACAACACTTTTCTCTCTGCTCCCCCCGGGTTGTCAGCATTGCTTGCTTTTCCATGCGGGGCTGCGTGCTGATGATCTGTGCACTTAAGCAATGGTGTCTGAGGCACAGCTGTGTGATTAGAGCTGGGTAATGCAGGCTTTCTTCTCATTACATCAGAAGCTTAAAGGAGCAGAAACTGCTTCTAATGAAACCCACGGTGCTGCTGGTGTTCAGCTGCTTAGAAAAGTTTCCAGGCTTCATGTTGAGGTGCGGTGCTGGAACAAATGGTTTATAGGTTAATCACTGATTTTCTCAGCTTCTCATTGCTTCCAAACATTCTTGAATGCTTTGTGTCTGAGTTCCTGCAGCAGAATGACATCAACAGCTCTGCACACCGAGGAGCAGAGCATCCACTGCCCATCTGAACAGCTTCTTTCAGATTTTGATGAGCTTTAAAATTCCATGGCTTTTCTAATAGGACCTTGGGCTTTGCTTTTAGCTGGTGGATCATGGAAACACAGAATGCCCTGGGTTGCAAAGGAGCACAATGCTCACCCAGTTGCAACCCCCTGCTATGTGCAGGGTTGCCAACCAGCAGACCAGGCTGCCCAGAGCCACATCCAGCCTGGCCTTGAATGCCTGCAGGGATGGGGCATCCACAACCTCCTTGGGCAACCTGTTCCACTGCCTCGCCACCCTCTGGCTCAAAAACTTCCTCCTCATATCCAACCTAAACCTCCCCTGTCTCACTTTAAAACCATTCCCCCTTGTCCTATCACTATTAACCCTCACAACTAGCCGTTCCCCCTCCTGTTTATATGCTTCTTTCAAATATTGGAAGGCTCGCTGGAAGACCACCTGCTTTTAGTGCTAAGATCCTTCTGTGCCGTTCATCTCCTCATTCTGTGTAATCCATGCAGTCTGAGGTCTTCTTCTTGCCAAAGAAACCTTTCCCAGCTCCCAAATCACTTGGTTTCTTGGTTTCCTCTAACACAGCCCTCGGTGCTCCCTTTGCTCCAGCCTCAGCCTGCACAGAGGTACAACCGCATTCACCATGTTCCTTCCCCCGCCTTTATTCCTCCAGAAATGTGTTAACACATACCAGGAAGATTTTGGCTCCATGATGTCGTGTGCTACTGCACTGCTGACTAATGCTGCCCTGGACATGTTTGTGTGTTGAAATTCTTCTAAGGGCTCAAATTAACATAGGACCACCCAATGGATTCTTGCCAAAGGCTTCCTTGTCTTCTGCCTTGGATGTAGCCCCCTATTTGCTTCCCCAGGTTCTTGCGGTCAGTTTTAGGCAGCCAGGTATTCTTGTCTGAGTGTGCTGCTTCTCCCTGCTGAGCTTCATTTTCCACTTCAGGTCCCTTCTCCATATTTCAAAGCCAATTTTGAATTCTGATTCTGTCCTCCAGCTTGCTTGCAATCACTCCCAGATTAATGCCTTTTGTCAATTTAATAAACATAGAACCAGTGAGGCAGGAGAGATAGCAAGTGAAAATCTGTAACAGAATGGGATTCAGGTTCTCCTGCAGATTCTGTCTGCAAATCAGTGCTTTTTTTTTTTTTTTTTTGGCAGCATTCTCAAATAAAAATAAAAGGCCACGCAGGGGAGTTCAGCTCTCCATTATGAAGTTCCAAATACAAATGATGCAAAAATAGAACTCATCTTAGGGGCTTATCTCCAAAAGCAAAAATGTGGCTTGTTGGTCCCTCCTTGGTGCTTTGCCAAGGGGAAATAGGGATCAGTGAGTTCTGCAGCTGGCTGCAAGAGGAAGCCCTTCCTCTTCCCTTCCCTTTAAATTATAAATACAGTGGGAACTGTGAGCTTTCACATCCACAAGGATCTCTTAAGCAAGATGATTTTGTTATATATTTGGTGACTGTTCAGTTATCATGGTGGAATTAAACCTGTAAGCAGCTGCTCTTCATTCTGGTGTGGTCTGGTGGCTGCTGACGTGCTGTGTAAGGGAAAAGCCTGGTCTGTTTGGGCAGAAATGTCATGGGGCTGAAGGACTTTAAGGAACTCCATCCAAATGGTTGGTCAAAGTAGTTATTTAAATACAAGTGTTTATGGGATGTGCTGCAGCCCAACCCATTGGCTTTTCTCATCAGCTTGCTGGTCCTGCAGCAGATTGTGCTTCTGTTGGACATCCATGGTGCCTGAGGGCAGAGCTGAATGGTGAATTCAAGATTCCTCTCATCCTAGATGTATTGCTTAGGAAGAATTACTGGTCCAGGGCATGTTTGCTCTGTCTCCACAAAGGCAATTTTTAGCTCTGTAGGAAGCCTCATGATGCCCACGGAAGGGAATGTGTTAAGAATTCACCTAGCAATTCAAATTGTGAATTTGGAGTCTTTTCCCAAATGTTCTCTGCTGGGTTCCAGTTCGTTTAACTCTTCTGCAGTTGTTGCAGTGCTCCTTACCTGTGCTGGGAGATGGCAAATCACAGTTGCAAGGAGACTGGGAGAAAACAGCTGGAGGCAATTGATTGTTGAGTAAATCCAGCTGTTTCCTAAGGGATTTACCTCCAGTTAAAGGTATTTTGACACCAAGCCAAGGCAGCCTCAGGTGTTCTGTTCCTGCAGGTCTGCTCAGGTGAAAGTGGGACTGAGCAGAAAGGAGTTCTCCATTGGGTATGAGTTAGGCTCTGTCTAAGCTCAGTTGTGTTGATCCCACAAAGTGTAGTAGGTAACCACTGTGAAGATGATTGTTTTGAAATGTAATCTCCTGTTCCTTAAAAAGCAATTAACAGGAGCTTCAAGGCAGCCTGATACCTGGCTAGAGCTTGGCTCTGCAAGCATAGATACCATATCCACAGCTTTATAAGTACTATATCCATGGCTTTATAGGTACTGTATCCACAGCTTGTCTAGATTCTGCTTATGAAATGAGAAGCTGGATGCAATTTGCCACAATTGAGGTTTGACCTGGTCAAGCTAAGCTGCAGCTAGAGGAGTTGTAGTGCTGCAGCAGGACCTATGGAACACTCCGTGCCTGAGTGTTTGGCTCCCAGGTGCACCTGCAGATGCTGCATTGTCTTCCTGCTGCTGCATAGCCAGCTGGATCCCCTGGTCCTGAGCTGAAGCCAGCAGCATTAATGGCACTGGAACAGTTTATGAGCCTTCCTATGCAGAAAGGTGCAGTGAGTGCACTGTCAAAGGGTGAAGCTGGTTGCATGCATTGTGGGCACGTGGTAAACATCTCAGCAGTAATGCTCTTCAGTCTTGTCTTCTCATACTATACTTGCTTAAAACTTGCACTGGAATCATTCCTCTAATCTGTGTTGTTACATTTTTGTCTCCTTGTAGTGGGGAAGACTTCCTTGATCACCAGGTTCATGTATGACAGCTTTGACAACACCTACCAGGTAAATGAATCCCTCTTGTCTTCTCTAAGGCCTCTTTATTGCAGGCAGAATCCATTGGGCTGCAGTGGATAACAGTACACAGACCACATTCATAGCTGTTACATCTTGAAGCTTTATATTTTAATAACCTTTCAGAATGGCATTTCAGTGTATGTCTGCTGGAATAGCTTATCTGCAGCTCGCAGCAGGATGAGCTGTAGTTATAAAGGATAGACCTCTTAGGTACACATAAGTGACAGCAGCTGTAAGTCTGCCAGGTTTTTCACCATTTGCTACCAGACCATTGCAGATCTCATGGAGAACAGAGTAGGCACTCTGTTCCTTAAAAAAGAAGAGGCAGAAAGCTAAGCTGTAGGCTCTGAGTGCTTTAGGATGCTATGCAGGCTTTCTAAATGCCAGGGGAACAGTCATTGTTATCCACTCCCACACTGTAGGATGAGCCTGAAAAGGTGGCAAGCTACAAAAGCAATTCAGTTTCATAAACTAAAGTGGGTCTTCTTTAAGCCACAACATGCTTCACAACTTGGTTGTGCTTGGTGATGTTCTGCATTCGCTGAACTGAGAAAATCTGTTCCCTGACAAATGTGAAGGGTTGTTTAGGGAGGTGGGAGGAGAAGGTAATGGGAAAAAAATACAAAAAAAAGCTGTGATTCTTCTGTTACTTAATGTCTATCCAAGTATCTCTTGATTAAATCTCTTTCCCCGTTAATGATTCCCTTCCTGCCTCATCAGTGATTCCACATTGCTGCTCTGTGAGTTGGTCACAATGAGATGCGAGTTCTCACTTAATGATAGGAGAAGCAAAGCTTCTGTGGTGTAGGAGGGCTAGAGTACACATCATTGCTCCCACGGGAGCAAACATCCTTTCAAATCCTATGAGCTGTAATTACATGGACATGTGAATGCCATCCTTTTATTTAATCTGCTTTTTTTTTTCTTTTTTTTTTCCCCCCCACAGTGTTTTTCTTTCAGGTCTGCTCCTTCTGTCTGCAGAGTCTGCGTCCTAGTTCTGTTTGAGGAGGTTTGGCCCTCTGTGCTTTATGGTAGCATAGCAGTCTCAATGGGAAGCTGGTCTAACATTACATAGAAAATGATTACGAAATGAATGAGTGGGCCTTAAACCAGTAAGGAATCTTAAGGGTTTAGAAGATAGCTTCAGTTTAGCTGTCAGCAACGCATGCTTGTTTTGTGTGTTAATGTACTTGGTGTGGTCTCATTCATCCAGAGACACCCATTTTCCTGAAACGCCCTATTTTGACACAGCTGGAAGAGGGAATTAGTCATAAGAACCAGCCAAAATCAAATGACATGTAATGCCAAGCCAGAATTTACCTTCCTTGATTCCCAGGGTTTGATAGAGACCTCTCAAAGCCAAATACGTGCGTGGCACTGCGTGTCAGAGCGTGTACGTGGTTAGCTGCAGCTGGAGCTCAGCTGCTGGATGATTTGCGCTTTCTGGACGTTTCAGATGAATTTTGAATGCATGTTTTCTGAGAGCTGCCACAACCTATCATTTGAGCAGGGCTTGTGGTGTTCAGCTGGTAAAAATAGAAAGGTGCGGTTTGGGAGAATCTGTGCTGTACATTCCTTCTTTTTTTTTTTTTTTGCTTGCTGCTTGATAAGAGGAATTCAGCTGCTGCCTGTATAGCTTATTAAAAAGCTGTTTTCATGAAAGTAGCATTTGTGAATAAGTCACAAACCTGCAATACTGTGTCAAACCCAAACATCTGGAATAAAACAGCGCTGTCTGTTTCACCAGCAGTGATTCCTCTCCGTGGATATGCTGGGAGAGCTTTTCCTTGTTCTGTGGCACTGAGTGTGATGCATAATGAAGGAGCAACGTTGGCAAACAGGAAGACTCTGTGTGTTATGCAAGAGGAAAATTACAAACCACGCTTTCCTTCAGCTTCAGCCTCTTGGAGGAAGAGCAGGGAGGATGGCACTGAGTTCTGTACAGCTGATCTGTGAAGATTCCCTGCGCTTTTCTCCTCCTTTTTGTCAGAACTGTGACAAAATGGCTGTTTTTAGCTTACTTATTTTAGTTAAAGTCTGGGATACAGAGTGCCTGAATCCCCCCCTCGCCATCTGCTGCTGCTGCTTCTCTGTATCCTTGTGGTGGGGTCAGGACAGTACAGGTGGACAGACACACACTTGGTTGTAAGTTACAGTGTATGATTCTTAAGCATTTTCATTGCCAAGTCTAAAATAAGTTTTGTGCCTGGCCTTTGTGCTGCACCTCCCATGTTGTGAGCATGAGGAGACTGAACTCCAGGACTCCTGCAGGAGGAGCTGGGCAGGTCTCAGGCTGTGCAGTTGATAAGCCAGCTCTGATGGCTCAGAGGAGCTGAGAGCTTGTCATTCAGAATGGGGTCCTGAGCATATCTAGGGTAAGATCTTAGGGCTTCTGTAGCTTTTCTTCTGCAGAGGTGAATCAAATAGACACAAGAGGAAGCAGAAGCATCTTTGGGGTGATCTTTAGAGAGATACTCTACCCAAATGATAGAAGATGAAGGCAGGAGGGAAGCATGTTGTCACATCAAGCTTTGATGGCTTCTCATACCCTGTCAGTATCATTTCTCTCAGTGGGCAGTGCCACAGTCCATGATGACAGGTGAAAATCACTGGGTGGCCACGTTGGGACCAACCAGTTTTTATCATTTAGGTATGGATCTCTGGTTCTTAAAAGTGCTCTCTTGATCCAGCAAAGTAAGCTTGCTTTCTTGTGGGTAATGTGTAGCTGCAAATGGAAATTCAGATCAGTTCTTTTTTCTTAATTTGCAGCTGGTTTTCATATATTTCTCTCAGGCAGGCAGGCTGGCTCTATTCTCTGTTCTTACCACCTAAATTATCTGGCAGAATACAAGGCATTAATTATTAGTGAGAGCATAATGGAAGTCTCACGATGTAGATCATTACAGTAGAACAGGCTCTCCAGTAGAAGTACCAGCTACAGCATGGGAGAGCAGGGAAGAAGCAGCATGCCTCTTTGCCCTATTATCTTTCCCTTTCTCCTTTAAATCCATTTATTTGGGTCATCACAAAGGCTCTGCTGAGGGTGCAGCTGCTCGAGGTGCTCAGTGTGCTGTTGAGCCTTGGGCAGCCCCATAGGCTGAGCAGATTGCCTTGGTTGTGTCCCTGATGCAACCAAACTGATAGGGCTCAGATTGACTCCCTCAATACAGCTCTGAAAAATGGGATGAAGGTCTTTAAGAAGCAGTTCTTGATGGCATTCAAGAACTGCTTCTTTTCTTAAACACGTAAGGATATTCTGCACAAAACTCCCACTGGTGTCCAGCGGTTTGGATGCAGTCGTGCTGAGCTGAGCTTTAGCATTGACTGAATCTCAGTGATTGCTGGGCTGTGTGTGTGCTGTTGTGCTGCAGCAGAAGTGAAGCTGTCCAGCTTAGCCTTAAGGAAAAAGGCTCAAAGTGAAGATCTGTGATTCTGCCGATGGATGCTATTGTAGGTCGTGGCCTTCTGTGCACAGAAGTCCTTGCTGATACCTGTATGACTTTGTGGGTTGTCAGTGAGCATAAGTTGAGATGAAAGTTAACAACTTCTTGAGCTTTAAGATGCTGTGCTGGTTATGGGTTCTATCCAGGGAACGTCTCATTGAATTGCTTCTAGTGCTTTGTCCTAGTAAGAAAACCTAATGTTCTTGCAGATCTGCTGCAGTTGTGGCAGTGATGTTAACCCTGACAGTCACTGCAATTGTTCAGGTGTTTTATTTGAAATGTTCTTGATTCTTTCTTTCTTTTCCTGCAGGCAACAATTGGCATTGACTTCTTATCGAAAACCATGTATTTGGAGGATCGAACAGTGAGTAAGATTTTTGTTCTCTCTGTGCAGTAGGAATCAGGATCAGCATCTGTTGTGATGGTGCACCGTTCTGAGATCACTTGGAAGTACAGCCTGAGCCCTCATCTCCTGGCTGCTTCCAGCCTGACAAGTGCTGTGGGAAAAGCTCCCTTCCCTGCCTGGGGAAGTGGGAAATCACCATTTGGCTCCTGAGGGCCATTTTGTAAATGGCAGAAGGTGCTGTGCTGGCATCCTTACTGGAGAAAACTTGGAGATATAGTCTGAGAGAGGGGTGCATAAGGGTAGGAGTCTGGGGAAGGGAGCCACAGTTAAGCCATTCTGTTTTTGAGGGATAAAATACAGATTGCCAAATGTTGCCAGCTCTTAGCTAGCTCCCTATAACCTATCAGCCAGCTCAGTGTTACCTCCAGCAGGAACCCACACATGGTGCTGGTTGCTTAGCTTGGTGCAGCTCTGATTCCTGAAATGAAATCACTGCTCTCTGAAAGCAAGCCTGTGGTTTAAAATTAGTTCACATTCTTCGTTAAGAAATTCAGCCACTGAGCTGTTTGCAGGAGCAGGTTGTTCAGTGCTGCATAAGCATGGTGTTGTATAAACCCACAGCAAATGTGATTGCATTAAAAGTGCTTGAGGGATGAGATATTGTTTCCATAGCAAAACTGGCCCTTGCACATCTTTCCATACGTGTTGCTTTCGATACATCCTGCCTTTCCTTTCAGAGCCTTGATGGTAAGAGACATTAAACCTCATCTGTGTGCATGGTACTTTAAAGTGTAAAACCTGATACAGTGATAAACAGTGTTTTATTCTTCCTGAAACATTCACACCAGTAGCTTTGACAGCAGCTGGTGGTTTTTCCCTTAGAAGTACAGCATTCTTCCACCAGCTGTGCACTCCTATTTCTCCCCTTCTGGAAGGAAAGCATTTTTGCAAAGCAAAGACAGCAGAAAGGGCTGAGATAGTTGCACATACACCAGCTTGGCTACTGCAGGTGCTTGGGAGAGATTGCTATAAAGGAGAGGACAGTTTGCCGCTGCTCCCAGTCCCCAGTCACCTCCTGCATGAGTTTATATTTTTCTTTAGCTTTTTCAAAAAGTGACAATTCTTTACTCTTTTTATTTTTAGTAGCAGTTTGGCTTTTTTAATTTTCTCCCACCCACAGATCAGGTTGCAGCTGTGGGATACTGCGGGTCAGGAACGTTTCCGTAGCCTCATTCCCAGTTACATCCGTGACTCTGCTGCTGCTGTAGTAGTTTACGATATCACAAGTAGGTATATTGCACTGGGTTTGACTTTTTTTCTTATTTTTCTTGCTTGTTTGACTGATTTTGTTAGGTACGGTTGCAATTATGGGACACAGCAGGTCAAGAACGGTTCAGGAGCTTGATTCCTAGCTACATTCGTGACTCCACTGTTGCAGTTGTTGTTTATGATATCACAAGTGAGTGGGGGGAATTCTGCATTTCTAATACTCTGCCCCTTTCATCCTTTAGCCTAGCTTTGCATGTCCTATCACAATCACGTGCTTGTTCTTCATTCTGGCATGGAAAAATTGTTTTCTTTTACCCTAGTCGAGTTTTAAGCTAGCCACTTGATCACTGCTATTGCAATGTATCGACTGTCTGATCAACTCCATCATTTTGTAACCCCTTTCCTATCACATTTCCTGAAGTCTTGAGTCCTGGCTGGTCTTGTTGCACTTTGCCCTCCTCCATCTGCTTTTTGGTCACAGTATCACCGATAACTTCTGGTCTCAAACACCTGAATCATGTTCATAGATAGCTGAATTCTCAAATTAGACATTGCACTGATAGCTGTAGCTTGCTTCACTCCATTTGCCCTCCCACCACCACCAAGGTTTGGGCATGGGCTGGGGGGGAACTGCATTAACATCACATTTTCATTTCAATCAGTCACTTTTACATTGTGCAATATATGCAACTTACCACTACGCCCTTCTCCTTTAACAATTGCTCTTTCATTTCCTACTAAGGTATGTACATTTTTGTGAACTAAAATGTTAGTGCTTTTCTCAACTCTTCTCCTCCTGTCCCTCCCCCCGTTTCAGAGAGCCCAAACTCACAGCATTCCCTGTTTGCCAAGAGCAGAATTTTGCTTTGGAAGAACTAAACCTTCAGATGTTCTCAGTTCTGGGGCTGAACTGACTGAGAGCAATGGCCTAAATCGATACCAATTCTAAAGAGCTTGTCCTTTGCTTTATAAATACTAGGAGATTACAGCAGGAATAAGGAATTTACCTGTGAAATCTTTAATTGTTACAAATAGCACTTTCTTTGGAGCTAAAATTACAGGTTAGCTGTGAACCTTGAATTATTCTTTTACCCACCTAGCAAATTCAATATTACTGAATAGTAGAGAGACAAATTAAGACACTGGCAAGTGATCAAGCCTTGTCTGTCTGGCATACAATATATTACTATGCAGTAGAAGCCATTAAAAAAAAATCAATGGCTGTCGAGAACTGCGGCACAGCCCCATTTGCTGAGTACCAGAAATGACTGAGGCAGCCCCACAGCTCACTGGTAAAGGCAGAAAGCTCCAGGGCAGCTTCTGTGCAACTCCTTTCTTCTAATGGGATGCAGCTTCTCACCCACGTGCTCGTTAGGTCAGGGTACCCTCCTAAATTCCTTGTATTTTGGCTTTTAAGAGTGTCACATTAAGAAAAAACACCTGTGGATGTATGAGATTTGTATTGCTTGTTCCATGCAGAAGATCAGGAAACTTATGGAAACCCATCAGCAATAAAGGAGTTGCTGGTATTTATATAGCCCTGACATTTCTAAACCCAGCAAATAAAAAGTGCTTAAGCTGTGCAAAACCACAGAGCTCAGAATACTTCTGAGAAATGCAGAAGCTGTGGGGCCCTCCTGCAGTAGATGAGCAGTGCAGAATGATGGGCAGTGTCACGTTGATCCCCATTCCCCACGCTGAATTTTTGTTCAACTAAACAACACGGGGACTGGTCTAAAAGAGCCATCAGTCTTCTCATTTTGGACACTGCCCAAACCAAATTCTGTATCACAGAATCACAGAATGGTTTGGGTTGGAAGGGACCTCAGGGATCATAAAGCTCCGACCCACCTGCGGCAGGCAGGGCCACCAATCTCCACATTTAATACCAGCCCAGGCTGTCCAGAAGCTGCCACCTCTGTATCTAGAGGTGAATTCCAATGCAGGGAGTGAAGTACCAGCCCAGGTGAAGTTAGTGCTGTAGCTTTCATGCACTTCAGTGTGGGGCACTTTGGGGTTTTGCTTGCTGGTTCTTCATCGCCCTGTTAGTCCAATTTCAGAAATAAGAAGCTTCTATTTGAGACCTCCAGCTGTGTTACCTGCGATGTGTGATGAAGCTCTGCAGTGATAATCCTCTCCACTGTTTTCTGCTAGATGTCAACTCGTTCCAGCAAACAACAAAATGGATCGACGATGTCAGAACGGAACGGGGCAGCGATGTCATCATTATGCTGGTGGGGAATAAAACAGATCTAGCAGATAAGAGGTACGGAGGAACAGCTCAACTTTAGCTGCTTTTCTTGGGCTGATGCTCCTTTCCCCAACGCAGCTGTTTAAAAAGGAATGTTTGTATTTCCTTCTCAGATGCTGGCTGTGTCTGGAGTGGTCTTGATTTTTAAACATTTTTAAACATTTAAACTTTTGGGCAAACCCAAATTTACAGCATGGATACTCAATCCAATTGCTGGGATACAAATGATGGGTGCAAGTCATCCTCCCCTTTAGAATTCTACAAAGTTTTTGCATAAGTTGACAAACTTCTTTTTATTAGAAGGTATGCAGCTTCAGCTTTTGCTTTGTGCATTCTTATTCTGGGTTTATGGTATTGCTAACACTGAGTAAAGAGCCATAAAAATGCAAAGCAAAAGCACAACATGGAAGTGTTCTGTACCTGATGGAAATCCCTGTTTTCTCAGAATATCTTCACTCGTGCCCCTTACTTCAGATTTATAATATCCCAATAGGAATTGTTCTGTCTCTCACATGAGATGCTTCATGATTTTTATCTAGAAGCTCTTGATCCAAAGTCCTCTCCAGTTTCAGCTGTAGCAGACTGCTTAGTGAGTGGGATACCTAGATGGGGGTAAACAGCAGAAGCCTTTCGGTTTGAGGTGGTTACATGTGGTCCTTCTGTAGTCTGCAAGTTGATGATTGTTACTGGGTTCTAAAATCTTCCAGTTGTTATTTCTTGAAGCATAAAAACCACAGCTTCCTGGACAGGGACTTGAAGGAGTCTCATTGGTCCATTCAGCTGCTTTGCTTTGGAGCCAGGTGTGCTGTTGTGGTTATCGTGCTGTACAGCTATGCTCAATCTGTGGCAGCTGTATGCAGGGAAAACCACTGAATGCTTTGAGACTGTAATGTAGGAGTCATTTCCTGGGGTTAAAGACAATAGTGTTAATTTTCAAATTGTCTATCTGTTTGATTTTTATTTTCTAATTCTGTATTCTCTTCTCCAGGCAAGTGTCCATTGAGGAAGGAGAAAGAAAAGCCAAAGAGCTGAATGTAATGTTCATTGAAACTAGTGCAAAAGCAGGATACAATGTAAAACAGGTGAGTAATGCCTTAGACTACTTCTGGTGGTGCACTTTTGTGACAGTAAGATCTGCTCTTAGGCATCAGGAAGTCTTTGTGTAGGGTGTCAGAGGGATACTGGTAGTCCATATGCAAAAACTAAGAGCTGAAGTTGTTGGCTGAGGTTTGAAAGCATTTCTGACCTTGTAGCAAATGGCTTGCAATGTTTTTCCTCTTAGAAAAGAGGAATTATGATTTTGGACCTACAGATTTTCCTTTATACCTTCCCAGACTTCTGGTGATCCAGATTGGTTGTTTAGGCTGAAGGTATTAAGGCATCAGTCAGAATGTTGGGGATGAAGGTCTGAGGAGTGCTTCTGTATCTGATTAGTGAACAGATGTGGGCAAACCAATCAAGGAGGAAAGTGGTTGGGTAAAATGCTTCTGCTGTATGGTGAGACAGCATGAACTGCTTTCTCTGCTTTGTTGGAAGGTAATGAAAGTGCAAACAGATGTTCTTGGATAGCTCAAGCTATTAGTTTTTGATAGATAACAAGTTGCCTTTGAATTGGGGAAAGCAGGGAAATGTCTTTTGAGCTGATGCAACTGCCATAAAATTAGATTTGATGCTGTGAGATGGGCAGCAGCTCTTTGCATTCTGATCTGCCAGGTGGTGTTTTATCACTAGTGTTAATGAAGATAAACTACTTGGCAAACAGTGGACTGGTGAAAGCAGTGAACATTACAGAACTGACCTGAAAGAAATTTTGTCTGGGCTTGTTATGTAAGCAGATCTGCTTCGTAGGAGCTCATGGATTGAAAGCCAAAGCTGTACATCCATACTGACTCTATGTATAATGGGATGCTAAGTTTTCATTGATCTCACAGTATTTCATACAAAGTCGTGACCACTGAAGGGGTGGCCAGCAGGGACAGGGAGGTGATTGTCCCCCTCTGCTCAGCTCTTGTGAGGCCCCATCTGCAGTGCTGCGTCCAGGCCTGGGGCCCCCAGCACAGGAAGGACGTGGAGTTCTTGGAGCGGGTCCAGAGGAGGGCACTGAGATGGTCAGAGGGCTGGAGCAGCTCTCCTGTGAGGAAAGGTTGAGGGAACTGGGCTTGTTTAGCTTGGAGAAGAGAAGGCTGCGGGGAGACCTCATTGTGACCATCCAGTACTTGAAGGGAGCAGATAAACAGGAGGGGGAACAGCTGTGAGGGGCAACAGCTGTTTGAGAGGGTGGATAGTGATAGGACAAGGGGGAATGGTTTTAAAGTGAGCCAGGGGAGGTTTAGGTTGGATATGAGGAGGAAGTTTTTGAGCCAGAGGGTGGTGAGGCACTGGAACAGGTTGCCCAAGGAGGCTGTGGATGCCCCATCCCTGCAGGCATTCGAGGCCAGGCTGGATGTGGCTCTGGGCAGCCTGGTCTGCTGGTTGGTGACCCTGCACATAGCAGGGGGTTGGAACTGGGTGAGCATTGTGCTCCTTTGCAACCCAGGCCATACTGTGGATTCTATGATGAGTGCTACAGCAGGAAGCCATTAGTGCTGCAGGATGGAGAGGACCTTCATTCTTGTGTACCTCCATAGAGCAATCACTTGCACGTGGATGTGTGTGCACATATTTGTGAAAATACATGCATTAGAATCATAGAATGGGTTGGGTTGGAAGAGACCTTGTTTTATATGCTCAGCTATACCAGTAGTTTTTATACAGAATTTTGTAAGGAGTTGCTAAGAGCAGGATTATAGATTACTTTGGGTGCACCTTATAGACAGGACTGAAGAGTCTGTTATTGGAGGATCCCTTGAACTTGTGTATTTGTAGCAAAATTATTCCCTATGCAGTGAAATGATTAGACGTGTTATCTTGGTGCTGCATTAGCAAGCAGAAAAGTGTTCAGTTCCTGCATCCACCAATTATCATTCTGCAACACAGAGGCTGCCTTGTAATTAAGGCTTGGATTTGGTGCTGGAATCCTGAATATTGTGCACAGAATAGGGGGTGTGCACTGGAGAGCAGCTGCCTCTCTGAGAGGAATGATGATGATGTAGCTGTGCTCCATCTTCTTGTAGCTGACACATATCCAGATGTCTGTGTCCAAACCTGGAGGGCAGTTTGGGGTTGTGGGCTGGGTGGTGCTGGGTGGGCTGCTGATCTGAGGTGTCAGGATGAAAATCATAGCATCACAGAACCACCAAGGTTGGAAAAGACCTCCCAAGCTGATCCAGTTCAATCATCTGCCTGTCACCAATATTTCCCTCTAACCCATGTCCCTCAGTACAACGTCTGAGCATTTCTTGAACACTTCCAGGGTCAGTGGCTGCACACCTCTCTGGGCAGCCCATTCCAGTGCCTTACCACTCTTTTAGAGAAGATTTTCATAATGTCCAACCTGAACCTTCCCTGGAACAACTTGGGGCTGTTCCCTCTCATCCTATCTCTAGTTAGACAGGAGCAGAGGCTGACCAGATCTCACCACAACCTCCCTTCAGGTAGTTGTACAGAGCAATAAGATCTCCCCTGAGCCTCCTCTTCTCCAGACTGAACAATCCCAGCTCCCTCAGCTGTTTCCCATTAGATTTGTGCTGCAGACCCCTCACAGCTCTGCTCCCTTCTCTGGACACGCTCCAGGGTCTCCATGCCTTTCTGGCACTGAGGGGCCCAGCGCTGAGCTCAGCACTGCACTGTGGCTGCACCAGGACTGAGTGCAGAGGGACAGTCACCTCCCTGCTCCTGCTGGCTGCACTATTTCTGATGCAAGACAGGATGCCATTGGCTTTCTTGGTCACTTGGGCACACTGCTGGCTCACGTTCAGCTAAGCATCAACCAACACCCCCCAGGTCAATTTCTTCCGTACAGTCTTCCAGCCACTCTGCCTCACATCTGTAGCATTGCCTGGGGTTGTTGTGATCAAAGTGCTGCACTTGGTCTTGTTGAACTCCATCCCATTGGCCTCAGTCCAGCAATCAGCCTGTCCAGGTCCTTTTGTAGGCTGTTCCTACCCCTGTGCAGATCAGTACTTCCCTCCCCCCATCATGGTGTCATCTGCAAACATACTGAGGGTGCACTCAGTGCCTTTATCCAGATCATCTCTGGGCAGTCTGGTCTGGTCGTTGGCAACCCTGCACATAGCAGGGGGTTGAAACTGGATGATCATTATGGTCCTTTTCAACTCAGGCCATTCTATGATCAATAAAGATCATATCAATAAAGATATTGAGCAGGACAGATCTTGCATGGTATGCCTGTATTCCACCCAGGCACGAGGTATCATCGCATAATACAATGTGCTTTGTAAACCTGCTGCAGCCATTATGGATGCTGGCTGCATTTATTGTGTGGCAAAGGAACAAACTTTGCCTTCTTGTGTTTTTATTCTGAAGCCATTCAGGGATTGTACTAATGAGACTGTCAGAGCAGAAAGCTGTTTCTGAAGCAGTAGCCTCACTTGCATGCTCCCCTGGGAAAACTCTTCCTTGTATAATGGAGGTCTAGACAAATTATGCCTCTAATTTTAATTGCCACGTTACATGCTGTAAGAATACTGTAAGAAGAAAGGTACGATAATTCAGCTCTGAGCTAAAAAAGAGTCGTGGTGGGTAACCAGCAGGCTCATTCTTTTCTGTATTGAATTGAAGATTCGGTGTTCAGAGACACCATTCTTGTTATCAGTCACACCAGCAGATAATGTTATATATCCAGGCTGGATGTGGCTCTGGGCAGCCTGGGCTGCTGGTTGGTGACCCTGCACATAGCAGGGGGTTGGAACTGGATGAGCATTGTGCTCCTTTGCAACCCAGGCCATTCTATGAATACCCCAAAATCTTGGGGCTGTTACGTGTTGCTGCATCCTCATCTCATTCTTTATTTTCTTTGTGGCTTCTCTGTTGAACAGTACAACATTGTCTTATGAACAAATTATTTCCCAGTGAAGCTGGAGAGCTTACAGATACAACTGCAGAACTGATGCCCTTCCCACACCCTCTATAAAGGCTGTCGTTAATGAGCTGAGTGCAAGTGTGACCTTCCCATAACATTACAATCCCTAGCCATAATATATTCTGTTTCTGAAGAATGGTTACTGCCCAAATTAATTTTCATACAGGATTTTTAATTTAAATCAAATTTTTTTAGATAGAGTCTACATTTAGCTATAACAAAGCTCGTTCATGTGACAGTGAGCATCACCTTGTGCCACATATCAAATATTCATGTAAAGGTGAAGCTGGTGATGAGTGATTGGTTTATTCACTGAGTTCCAGGTTAGGATTGAGCATTGATCATGCAGCTTTCACACTCCCTGTGGTTGAGATGTGTACAGTAAGAAACAGGAACTGCTTTCTCCTTCCACTGGAAGCTCTCCTTAAGTATTGACACATCTTAGGATGTCAGTGTTTCACAAAGCCCATAAACACCAGCAAAATGCTGTTGTTTCCCAGTGCCCTCTCTTGCCAGCACATCTGTCTCGTGGATCTAAACCCCATGCCTGGCTCACAGATACAGTTGGTGCAGGAAGAGGCTGGGAGTGGAGTCGGGAGGTTTAGGTTGGATATTAGGAGGAAGTTTTTCAGCCAGAGGGTGGTGAGGCACTGGAACAGGTTGCCCAAGGAGGCTGTGGATGCATTCAAGGCCAGGTTGGATGTGGCTCTGGGCAGCCTGGTCTGCTGATTGGTGACCCTGCACATAGCAGGGGGTTGGAACTGGTGATCATAGTTGTCCTTTTCAATCCAGGCCATTCTGTGGAGTCCTCCATCCTTTGCTCCTTTGATTTTTCACATTGGGGTTTGTATCCCTGCAGCACTGGATGAACATGTCATGTTCCCAGCCCCACCATGGTCTCTCCTTTCAGTAATACCTCTCAGGCCTGCAGCATCATCCTTGCAGACATGGGGAGGTGTGAGGATGCTGTGGGGCAGCAGGTGGCTCTCTGCCCTCATCCCAACCACATCTCACAGCTGCTGCATCCTTGTGTGTTGTTACTCTGAGAGATGCTGCCTGCAAGGCTTTGGTACCAATATTCCACCACTGAGGATATGGAAG